GAGCACCTGAGTCAGGCCCGGCCCTCCTCTGCCCACAGCCCTCCATGACTCCCACCTTCCTCAGGGTCAAAGCCCAGGTCCTCCTTGGGCCCCACAAGGCCCTGCACGACCTGCCTCTACCACCTAAATATTGACTGAAGTCAGAGCTGGGTGAGGGTCGCTCCCGGATGTCCCAACCCTGACAGCCGTGGTCCCTGTCCTTGCAGATCCACCTCATGCAGTGTGGGGTGACCCCCACGGCCCCCGCCCGCCCCGGGAAGGTGCACAAGCTGTGGGGGGACTGGAGCCAGCACCCTCTGGAGAACGGCCGGCGCCGGAGCCAGGTGAGCAAGACCTGGGGGAGTCAGGCGGGGTGGCGGCTGCGGCCAGCCTGGGTAGGGAGGGGAAGAGGGTCCCGGATCAGCCCCTTGCTGCGGGGGCCGCACTCAAGCTGTGGCAAACCAAGTACTGAGGTCAGCCGGGGGGTGTCCATGGGGGAAACTGAGGCAGGGTAATGGTCCTACTGGGTGTCCATGGGAGAAACAGGCAGGGCTGGGTCCCATTGTGTTTCCATGAAGGAAATTGAGGCAAAGCATTCCCACTGGGTGTCCACTGAGGAAACTGAGCCAGTTTCCACTGAGGAAACAGTCTCTCTGGGTGTCGGTGGGAGAAACTGAGGCAGGGTAATGGTCCTACTGGGTGTCCATGGGAGAAACAGGCAGGGCTGGGTCCCACTGGGTGCCCACTGGGGAAACAGGCAGGGCTGGGTCCCCTTGTGTTTCCATCAGGGAAACCGAGGCAGGGCTGGGGTTTTTTTTGTTTTGTTTTGTTTTGTTTTTTGAGACAGAGCCTCATTTTGTTGCCCAGGCTAGAGTGCCCTGGCATCAGCCTAGCTCATAGCAACCTCAGACTCCTGGGCTCAAGCGATCCTCCCGCCTCAGCTGGGACTACAGGCGTGCACCACCATGCCCGGCTAATTTTTCCTATATAATTTTAGCTGACCAATTAATTTTTCTATTTTTAGTAGAGACGGGGTCTCGCTCTTGCTCAGGCTGGTCTCGAACTCCTGACCTGGAGCAATCCTCCTGCCTCGGCCTCCCAGAGTGCTGGGATTACAGGCGTGAGCCACCGCGCCTGGTCCTGAGTGCTGGGTCTTATTGTGTGTTCCTGAGGGAGACTGAGGCAGGGCTGGGTCGCGTTGTGTCTGTGGGGGGAACCGAGGCAGGTCGCTGGCCCCACATGGGGCGATGGAGGCAGGAAGACAGTCCCACCGGGTGTCCGTGTGGGCGACCGAGGTGCCCGCTGCCCTCGCCCGCAGGCGGAGCTGGAGACGCTGGCGCTGTCGCGCGGCCTGACGCAGGAGCTGCGCGGCACGGTGGACGCGCTGGAGAGCAGCGTGCGGGGCCTGCCCCCCGTTGCCCAGGAGAAGGTGGCCGAGGTGCGGCGCAGCGTGGACGCCCTGCAGGCCGCCTTCGCGGACGCCCGCTGCTTCGGGGACGTGCCAGCGGCCGCGCTGGCCGAGGGCCGGGGCAGCGTGGCGCGGGCGCACGCCTGCGTGGACGAGCTGCTGGAGCTGGTGCTGCAGGCCGTGCCGCTGCCCTGGCTGGTGGGGCCCTTCGCGCCCGTGCTCGTGGAGCGGCCCGAGCCCCCGGCCGACCTGGCGGACCTGGTGGACGAGGTCGTGGGGGGCCCCGACCCCCGCTGGGCGCACCTGGACTGGCCAGCCCAGCAGAGGGCCTGGAGCGCCCAGCACGGGCACGGGGACGCTCGCGAGGAGGAGCCCCAGCCCCCCAGCGCCCCGGCCAAGCACACGCTGATGCCCGAGCTGGACTTCTGACCCGGGCGCCCGCGTGCCGGGGTCCCTGCTGCCCCTGGTGGCCGCGCTCGAGCGCCAGGCGGAGCCGCGCCTGGACGCAGGGAAAGAGGCCCGACAGCAGCAGGGACTTGAGCCCGGAGCCAGGCCCTCCTGTCCCGTGCCCACCCCAAGAATCCGAGCGAAACTCCCCCAAGAGACACACACACTGTCCCCCCGCGGCTTCTGTTTGGGGCTTGGGGAAGTGAGCCCCTCCTCCCCACTCCAGCTTGGCTATCGGGACTGAGGGGCCCCAGAGAGGCCGCCGTGCCAGACCCACGTCCTTTGCCCTTTAGGGTTTGTGCCCAGAATAAAGGCGCTTTGTGTTGTCTACACGCCCCGGCTTTGCTCCGGCTGGGTGGGCCTCAGTCCCAGGGTGCTGGAGGCCGCAGAGGTGTGTGACGGCGGGGACATGGGGAGGGGGTGTCAAGCCAGGGTTCGAGGTTTGGAAGGAATGATGCATCCCCGACTTGCCTGACACCCCGTCTGGGATTCCTCCATTAGTGCCCAGCCCACCTGGGGGCTCCCTCAGGTGCATCTACCTAGATAGAAGCTGTTGTCACTTTAGTATAAATTAGTATTTCTTGGAAACTGCAGGGAGCTGTTCTCACTGTAGTATAAATTAGCATTTCTTGGAATCTGCAGAAAGCAAACAAGTTGAGGAAGAAGGCAGGAAGGGCAGCTCTTGGGCCCGCTTGCCTGGACCTGTGGGGCTGGTCTCCCTGTGGTTTCTCCAGCTGCCCTGGCCAGGATGGGGGAGACAGAGGTAGGACAAGGGCCATGGGGCGGTCTCCTGGGGCCCTCCCGTCCTCTGACCACATTCTCAGCTGCCCCTCAGACTCCCCTGTGGCTGGGCGGGGTGTTGGGAAACCACGGCCTGGCGTGGTGAGCTCAGGGTGGCCCCTGGCTTCCCTGGGATCCGGTCCAGAGGGCGGCTCTGGGAGCCCCAACCACTTCCCGCCAGCCACATTCGCCTCCCTGCCCCTGCTCCGGAACCTCCATAGCTCCCCAGCACCCTCGGACCAAACACCCACGTCCTTCACCTTCCAGCTACTCGGACACTCAGCATGTCCCCACACCCCCGGGCCTTTGCCCATGCTGTGCTCGCTGCCTGGAATGCCCTTCCCACCCTCCCACCTGTCTCTGGACACATTCTGTCCAAACTCAAGGCCCAGCCCCAATACCCCTCCTCCAGGGAGCCTTCCCAGATGCAACCCCAGCGGGATACCTCCCTCTTCCAACCCTCCGCAGCCATTTACCTAGTAAACTCCTCATCTATCATGCACCCGCTCATTTGTTCCTTCAACAAGTATTGAGCACCTGCTGTATGACAGACGCAGCAGCGAGCAAAACATACCCCGTCCTCCAGGAGTTTACGGTGTAGCAGGGAAGGCGGACGCTAACCAAGAAAAGTGAGCCCATTAGCGTTAGTAGGTGCAGGAAAAAAAAATGGGGCTGGGGAGTGTGGGGGACATGGAGGGTGTGTATTTAATTGGGAGGGGGGATCCAGGAAGGCCTCTCTGAGGAGGTGACAGCTGAGGAAAGACCTTGAAGGGTGTTCCAGGTAGAAGGAAACAGCCCGTGCAAAGGCCCTGGGGCAGGACCGCACCTGGCGTGTTGGAGGCACAGCGAGGAGGCCCGTGTGGCTGGAGCAGAGTGAGGAGGGGCAGAGACGGAGGAGGGAGGGCGGGGAGGGGATGGGCAGGTTGTGCAGGGCCTGGTGGGCCGCAGGGAGGACTTGGGCTTTGACCCCGAGGGAGGTGGGAGCCCTGGAGGGCTGTGGGCAGACCAGGGGCGGGCCCCGACTGGGGTGTTTATGATTTTTTGATATTTCTTTCCCTGGCTGACTCCCCACACCGGGCTGTGGCTGCCCCTCGGGAAGGGGCGGGGAACACCAGAGCTCTCCCGCCACCCTTGGGAAGCATTGGCTAGGACAGAGGCTGGGGGATGCCCCCCTCTGTTCCCCGACTGTTTGGCAAACACAGTGACGGCTCCAAGGAGACAGCCTGGGGTCACGAGGCCCAGCGGCTGGACCCTCCCTCTTCCCAGCTTTGTGTGACCCTCACCCCAATAGCACATGGCTGGGAACCCTGTCCCAGGGGCAGGCAGGAGGGACACGGCCCAGGAAGGGTGTGCCAGGCATTCCTCTGCGTGCCCGCCTACCCTGACAGCCCACCTGGCATGCAGGGCTGGGTCTGGGTTTGAATCCTGTCTTTGCCACTTCCTGGCTATGTGGCCTCAGGCACGGGACACCTCCTCTGGGCAGCCTCCCTGGGTTGGCCCAAGCCTACCCTGGCCGGGTTCCCAGTCCTAGGGTGCCCACAGCTCTGCTGGCTGGCTGTCCCTTTCCTGCTCGGGAAACCCCCTGTGCCTCTCAGAGACCCCCATTTGTGCCTGGGCGGTGCTAGATTAAGGTTTGCTGAGTGTCTGCTGGTGCCAGGCACTGCGATAGCCAGGACGCACGTGGGAGTCCACTTCACGCTCACAACCACCCTATGAGTTGGTCCATTTAGCCAAACATCCATCCATCCATCCATTCATTCATTCAGGGACAGAGTCTCACTCTGTCACCCAGGCTGGAATGCAGTGGTGCAATCACAGCTCACTGCAGCCTCCAACTCCTGGACTCAGTGATCCTCTGGCCTCAGCCTTCAGAGTAGCTGGGGCTACAGGTGTGTGCCACCATGCCTGGCTAATTTTTACATTTTGTTTTAGAGATGGGGTCTTGCTACATTGTCCAGTCTGGTCTCCAACTCCTGGCCCCAGGCGATCGTCCTACCTTGGCCTCCCCTAAAGTGCTGGGATTATAGGCGTGAGCCACCGCTTCTGGCCCCAAACATTTATTAAGTGCCAAATGTGTGCCAGGCACTGTCCTAGGTGCAGGAGACACAGTAGGGAGCAGAATGGGCTTGACAGGTGAGGGACAGAGAGCTGTGTGAGTAGCTGGGGGAGGGCACTCCAGGCAGAGGGCACAACCCGCGCAAAGGCCTTGGGGCAGGATCGCACCTGGGGTGTTGGAGGAACAGGGAAGGGGCCCTTGTGTCTGGAGCGAAGTGGAGGGAGACAGGGAGGCAGGACTTTGTGAGCCACAGTAAGGAGTCTGGAAGGAGAAACTGAGGCACAAAGATGGCGACTGGCAAGGGCGTCCCAGCGAGGAAGGGATCTTGATGGTACGCCATCAGGGTGGGCACACTGCCCCATGGGGGAAACCGGAGGGTGCAGGAGTGCCCGGAGGCGAGGGAGGGGAGTGCAGCTGGCCCGAGCGCCTCAGCCGCGTGGGCAGAGAGCAGGCGAAAGGTGCTGGGCCGGGGCCCACGCTGGCACGTGACTGCCCAGGCGGCCCCCCCGGCCCATTGGCCGCCTGCCCCTGCTGGCTGGGCCGCGCCTGCCCCAGACCCTATAAGGCCTGGGAGCCGCCAGCAGAGCCAGCTGCCTGCCAAGCCGCCCGTCGCTCCGAGGGACCCCACACAGCCCAGGTGAGCGGGGACGCGCCTGTCCCTGGTGACACTGGGGCGAGTCCAGGCCTCCAGGTCACTGCCTGGCGGGACGGGTGTGGAGCCGGAGGCGGGGGAAGCCCATTCTCGCACCTTCTCTGCCCCCTTCCAGCCACTCAGGCACCACCATGTCTGCTCCGGACGAAGGCAGCCGGGACCCCCCCAAACCCAAGGGCAAGGTAAGGGACAGGAGGGAGGGACAGTTCCCTGCTGGAGCCTGGAGACCCTGGAGTCTCAGGAAGGTGACCTCCAGGGCCCTGGGGTGGGAGGGCTCTGGGAGCCACGATGCCAACTCTTCCCGCGTGTCCCAAGCCGGGGCAGAGGGCTCACGTAACCTCGGCGCCTTCTCCACTGTTCGACCTTGGGCCAGCCTCAGTGCCTGCCTGAGCCTCAGTTTCCCCATTTGTGCAATGGGGCTAAGAGGAAAAGCTCTCTGGGGACTTGGGAGATGCCCCTTTCCTCTGGGAGGCAGGCTGAACCTGCCCATTGCCCAGCGAGGAAACTGAGGCTCAGAGTGGCTTCAAAGCTTTCCCGGGGTCACCCAGGGGCGAGGGGCGGGGGCAGCGTGGGGCTGAACGATGCCTCCTCCCTCCCTGTTCCTGTCTCGGCCGGCCCGGCTCAAGCTGCCCTCCCCACCCCTGCAGACCCTGAGCAGCTTCCTGGGGTCCCTGCCTGGCTTCAGTTCCGCCCGGAACCTGGTGGCCAACGCCCACAGCTCCGCGAGAGACGCCCGGCCGGGCACCGAGCCCGCGGGTGGCCCTGCCGCCCAGGCTCAGGGTGAGTGGACGGCCCGACAGCGGGGACCTCTGTGGGTGGACCTGGGAGCCCCTCAGGTGTGCCCACATGGCCTCACTAGACATGAGGACGCTGGCACGCTTGCTTAGTGCCAGACGGGGAAACCGAGGCTTGGGGGGTGTCGTCCAAGGAGGTATAAGCAGTGAAAGTGGGGTTGGAACCTGGCCTGTCTCGCTGCGACGCCCCTCCCCCGTTTCTGATGCTCCGTGGAGCGGTGGGGTGCTCTGCACGCGCCTTCCCTGCGGCCGCACAGCCGGGTGCTGGGGGCTGCGCAGGGAGCCAGGGTCGGGGTGGCTGCCCGGGCTGGGCCCCGCTCTGGGCCCGGAGCCCCAGGCAGCTGACTTCTGCTCCACATACCTGGCCCTGCGACGGGCAGCTGGCAGCTGCAGTGGGGGCGGGGCGGGGCCTCCCCCCACCAGGCTATGGGGGCTCCGGAGCTCAGGGTGGGCATCCGGCGCCCAGGCCCAGCAGAGAAAACTCCGCAGGGCCCTGCTCCGGGGCACTGAGGCCTTGGGGGGTCCAGGGAGCCCCGGCAGGGTGGGTGGCTGAGCCTGGCTGGTGGCCGTGGAAGTCACCTCCTGCCGTCCCTGGCAGGGTGGCTGGGACATTCCTGACCTTTTGGGCTGTGCCCGCCAATTGCGCAATGGGCATCAGAGCTGGTGATCCAAACCAGCGTCCCTCGCCCTCCCTGACCAGCCCCTGTCCCCACAGCGGCCACCGACCCACAGCAGATGGCGAGGGACATGGAGAAGCCACAGCAGCCTTCGGAAAAGGTGAGGGCCCCATGAGCCCGGCCTGAGACCCTCGGGGCCCCCTCCTGAGAAGTCTCAGTTACTACCAGCCGGGGGTTGCCATAGCCAAGGAGAAGGCAGACACACCCCTGGTGTCCTGCTGGGCGCGGCCTTCCTGTCTGGGAAATGGGTGCAGTGCCGCCTCGCTCCCCGGCGCGGTTGGACTCTGGACAGCCTGTGCTAGTCCATGCCTAGGACGATGTGACCAAAACACTGGCAACGTACTCTCTGGGTGTCAGGCTCCGTGCTAAGCACTTCTCGTAGTTAGTGCTCCCAAGGGAGGGACAGTGCCCCACACGACTGCAGAAGCACAGAGACGTTAAGCCACCTGCTGGAGGTCACACAGTGAGACGTGGTAGGGATTTGAACCTTGGACAGGCAGGGGCTGAACAGCAACCTATGCTGCGTCCACCCTCGGTCCTCGGCACCTGGGGTCCGCTGGCCTTATCACTGTCCCCAAGGCCCGGCCAAGTGGAGGGGCTGATCTAGGACAGCAGGAGGTAAACTCACGGCAAGGCCCAGGGACAGTTCTTCCGCCCGGCACACACCCCCATGTGGCGTCTCCCACGAGTCCCTTCTCCCCGACCCATAGACCAAGAATCGCCCCCCCCCTTGTACATTGCCCCACTCCTCCCCGCTAGCACCAATTAAGCACCTGCTGCTGCAAAGTGCTTCGGGCATCTTGACTCATCTGCACCACCCCTGAAGGAGGAGCTGTTGTAATCCAAAGTTTTCAGATGAAGATACAGGCCCAGAGAGGGAATGTGACTTGCTGAAGGTCACACAGCAAGTGCAGGAAAAGAGGTGGGATTTGAACCCAGGTCTCTCCAGCTAAAGAGCCCAGGGTGCTCACCTGCACCAAGGCTGGGCAGGAGACAGGTGGTGAGAACATAATCCCAAGGTTCCTCAACCGCAATACTAAGGATATTTGGGGCCAGGTCAGTCTCTGGAGTGGGGTCATCCTGGGCACTGCAGGGTGCTAAGCAGCGTCCCTCCTTTTACCCACCCCATGCCAGGAGCTCCCCTCAATTGTGATGACCACAGATGTCCCCAGACATCCCCCAGTGTCCTGCGGGGGACAGAACTGCTCCAACCACTGAATTAAAAACAGCACACTCGGGGCCGGGCGTGGTGGCTCACGCCTGTAATCCTAGCACTCCTACATGGTGTGCTCCAAGATGACCAAGACTAAGCACCATGTAATCCTAGCACTCTGGGAGGCCAAGGCGGGCAGATCATTTTAACTCAGGAGTTTGAGACCAGGCTGAGCAAGAGTAAGACCCCGTCTCACTAAAAAAAAAAAATAGAAAAAATTAGCCGAGCCTGGTGGCGCATGCCTATAGTTCCGGCTACTCGGGAGGCTGAGGCAGGAGGATCCCTTGAGCCCAGGAGTTTGAGGTTACCGTGAGCTAGGCTGATGCCACGGCACTCTAGCCAGGGCAACAGAGTGAGATGCTGTCTAAGAAACAAAAAACAAAAACCCAGCACACTCAGGGTAACACCCGAGTGGTGGTAACTCCGAGGCCATCAGCCCGTTTAGTTGGGTTAAACTAGAGAAAACTGCCATGCAGTAGACAAAACTGATTAAAGCTACGGTGAGGTCCTATGACTAAACCTAATGCCAATCTCTGTACTTCTCTGGTTATTCTCTTTATTTTCTTTAAACTTTTATTTTGGGGTATGTTTGTTTTTCAATTTTGTTTTTGAGCCAGTCTGGCTCTATGGCTGAGGCTGGAGTGCAGTGGTGTCATCACAGCTCACTGCCACCTCCAACTCCTGGGCTCAAGGGATCTTCCCGCCTCAGCCTCCTAAGTAGCTGGGACCACAGGTGCAGCCACTGCGCCTGGCTAATTTTTCTATATTTTGTAGTGCCCGGCCAGTTATTACTTTTCTGAACCTTGATTCACTTCTTTGACTTGAGCACGTTAATTTTAATGAGCACGTTAATTTTAATAAGGAATTTGGCCTCCGTAGCATTAGCAGGAAACCAGGTTCAAAATTTGGCATGAACGGAGCATAGGCAAGATGAAAAAAAAACTTGAACTCTCTGACTTGCGTGGAGCCCAGGTCATGGGGCCTTGGCGAGGGCTCGAGGACTCAAGGACCTGCCGGTACGGAGGGGGAGGGAATCATGGGGCGCTCTGTGACGCAGAGCCCGTGGAGGCATGTCCTGCAGAGCCACAGCTTGGAGAGCGTCCAGGGGGACATCCACTGGGGGATGAGGGTAGAGGGAAGCAGCTCATTTTTCGGGGAGGTGGGGCCTCTAGGTGACTGCAGTCCTCTCTCCATAGGGCACACGAAGGAGTCAGGAAAGCAAACGTCTGGGGAGGAGGTGGCTCTCGGTTCCTCCTAACCACCCGTTGTCCTCTTTCAGCAAATCGTGTCTGGGGCCAAAGACCAGGTGTGCTCCAAGATGACCAAGACCAAGGACACCATCTCTTCTGGGGTGGCCAACGTGGTGGACGCGGCTAAGGGAGTGGTCCAGGGAGGCCTGGACACCACGCGATCTGCCCTCACGGGCACCAAGGACGCAGTGTCCAGTGGGGTAATGGGGGCAGTGGGCATGGCCAAAGGGGTTGTCCAAGGCAGTCTGGACACCTCAAAGTCTGTCATCACTGGAACCAAGGACACAGTGTCCACTGGTGTCATGGGGGCAGTGAACATGGCCAAAGGAACTGTCCAGACTGGCGTGGACACCACCAAGACTGTGCTGACAGGTACCAAGGACACTGTCTGTAGTGGGGTGACCGGTGCCATGAATGTGGCCAAAGGGACTATCCAGGGGGGCCTGGACACCACCAAGACCGTTCTGACTGGCACCAAAGACACAGTGTCCACTGGGGTCATGGGAGCAGTGAACTTGGCCAAAGGAACCATCCAGACTGGCGTGGACACCACCAAGACTGTGCTGACAGGTACCAAGGACACCCTCGGCAGTGGAGTGACCGGTGCCATGAATGTGGCCAAAGGAGCCGTCCAAACTGGTGTGGACACCACCAAGACTGTGCTGACAGGCACCAAGGACACTGTCTGCAGTGGGGTGACCGGTGCCATGAACATGGCCAAAGGGACTATCCAGGGGGGCCTGGACACCACCAAGACCGTGTTGACTGGCACCAAAGACACAGTGTCCACTGGGGTCATGGGGGCAGTTAACGTGGCCAAAGGAACTGTCCAGACTGGCCTGGACACCACCAAGACTGTGCTGACTGACACCAAGGACACTGTCTGCAGTGGGGTGACCGGTGCCATGAATGTGGCCAAAGGGACTATGCAGACTGGCCTGGACACCAGTAAGACCGTGCTGACTGGCACCAAAGATGCAGTGTCCACTGGGCTCACTGGGGCAGTGAACGTGGCCAAAGGGGCTGTACAAACCGGGCTGAACACGACTCAAAATATCGCAACAGGTGCAAAGAACACCGTCTGCAGTGGGGTGACTGGTGCCGTGAATGTGGCCAAAGGGGTTGTCCAAGGCAGTCTGGATACCTCGAAGGCTGTCATCTCTGGAACAAAGGACACGGTGTCCACTGGTGTCATAGGGGCAGTGAATGTGGCCAAAGGAACTGTCCAGACTGGCCTGGACACCACCAAAACTGTCCTGACAGGTACCAAGGACACTGTCTGCAGTGGGGTGACTGGTGCCATGAATGTGGCCAAAGGGGCCGTCCAGGGAGGCCTGGACACCACTAAGTCTGTGGTCACGGGCACGAAAGACACAGTGTCCACTGGGCTCACTGGGGCAGTCAACTTGGCCAAAGGAACCATCCAGACTGGCATGGGTACCACCAAAGCTGTCCTAACTGGTACCAAAGACACCCTCGGCAGTGGGGTGACCAGTGCCATGAATGTGGCCAAAGGGGCTGTTCAAGGGGGTCTGGACACCACCAAGACTGTGCTGACTGGCACCAAAGACGCAATGTCCACTGGGCTCACTGGGGCAGTGAACTTGGCCAAAGGGACTGTTCAGACTGGCGTGGACACCACCAAGACCATGCTGACAGGTACCAAGGACACTGTCTGCAGTGGGGTGTCCAGTGCAGTGAGTGTGGCCAAAGGGGCTGTCCAGGGGGGCCTGGACACCACCAAATCTGTGGTTATGGGCACCAAAGACACAGTGTCTACTGGGCTCACTGGGGCAGTCAACGTGGCCAAAGGGACTATCCAGACTGGCGTGGACAACACCAAGACTGTCCTGACAGGTACCAAGGACACCCTTGGCAGTGGAGTGACCGGTGCCATGAACGTGGCCAAAGGAGCCGTCCAAACTGGTGTGGACACCACCAAGACTGTGCTGACAGGCACCAAGGACACTGTCTGTAGTGGGGTGACCGGTGCCATGAATGTGGCCAAAGGGACTATCCAGGGGGGCCTGGACACCACCAAGACTGTGCTGACTGGCACCAAAGACACAGTGTCCACTGGGGTCATGGGAGCAGTGAACTTGGCCAAAGGAACCATCCAGACTGGCTTGGACACCACCAAGACTGTCCTGACAGGTACCAAGGACACCCTCGGCAGTGGAGTGACCGGTGCCATGAATGTGGCCAAAGGAGCCGTCCAAACTGGTATGGACACCACCAAGACCGTGCTGACTGGCACCAAGGACACTGTCTGCAGTGGGGTGACCAGTGCCATGAACGTGGCCAAAGGGACTATCCAGGGGGGCCTGGACACCACCAAGACCGTGTTGACTGGCACCAAAGACACGGTGTCCACTGGAGTCATGGGGGCAGTTAACGTGGCCAAAGGAGCGGTCCAAACTGGTGTGGACACCACCAAGACCGTGCTGACAGGCACCAAGGACACTGTCTGCAGTGGGGTGACCAGTGCCATGAACGTGGCCAAAGGGACTATCCAGGGGGGCCTGGACACCACCAAGACCGTGTTGACTGGCACCAAAGACACGGTGTCCACTGGAGTCATGGGGGCAGTTAACGTGGCCAAAGGAACTGTCCAGACTGGCCTGGACACCACCAAGACCGTGCTGACTGGCACCAAGGACACCGTCTGCAGTGGGATGACTAGTGCCATGAATGTGGCCAAAGGAACCATCCAGACTGGTGTGGACACCACCAAGATTGTCCTGACAGGTACCAAGGACACCCTCGGCAGTGGAGTGACCGGTGCCATGAACGTGGCCAAAGGAGCCATCCAAACTGGTGTGGACACCACCAAGACTGTGCTGACAGGCACCAAGGACACTGTCTGCAGTGGGGTGACTAGTGCCATGAATGTGGCCAAAGGGACTATGCAAACTGGCCTGGACACCAGTAAGACCGTGCTGACTGGCACCAAAGACGCAGTGTCCACTGGGCTCACTGGGGCAGTGAACGTGGCCAAAGGGGCTGTACAAACCGGGCTGAACACGACTCAAAATATCGCAACAGGTGCGAAGAACACCGTCTGCAGTGGGGTGACTGGTGCCGTGAATGTGGCCAAGGGGGCCGTCCAGGGGGGCATGGACACCACCAAGTCTGTGGTCACAGGCACCAAAGACTCAGTGTCCACTGGTGTCATGGGAGCAGTGAACTTGGCCAAAGGAACCGTTCAGACTGGCCTGGACACCACCAAGACCGTGTTGACTGGCACCAAAGACACAGTGTCCACTGGGCTCACTGGGGCAGTCAACGTGGCCAAAGGAACCATCCAGACTGGCATGGACACCACCAAGACTGTGCTTACAGGTACCAAGGACACCATCTGCAGTGGGGTGACCGGTGCTGTGAACGTGGCCAAAGGAGCCGTCCAAACTGGTGTGGACACCACCAAAACTGTCCTGACAGGTACCAAGGACACTGTTTGCAGTGGGATGACCGGTGCCATGAATGTGGCCAAAGGGACTATCCAGGGGGGCCTGGACACCACCAAGACTGTGCTGACTGGTACTAAAGACACAGTGTCCACTGGGGCCATGGGGGCAGTGAATTTGGCTAAAGGAACCATCCAGACTGGCCTGGACACCACCAAGATTGTGCTTACAGGTAGTAAGGACACCGTCTGCAGTGGGGTGACCGGTGCCGTGAATGTGGCCAAAGGAGCCGTCCAGGGGGGCCTAGACACCACTAAATCTGTTGTCACAGGCACCAAAGATGCAGTGTCCACTGGGCTCACTGGGGCAGTGAATGTGGCCAAAGGGACTGTCCAGACAGGTGTGGACACCACCAAAGCTGTCCTAACTGGTAGCAAGAACACCCTTGGCAGTGGAGTGACTGGTGCCATGAACGTGGCCAAAGTGGCCGTCCAGGGGGGCCTGGACACCAGTAAGACCATGCTGACTGGCACCAAAGACGCAGTGTCTGCTGGGCTCATTGGGGCAGGCAATGTGGCCACAGGGGCTGTCCACACTGGCCTCGGCACCATCCGGAACTGGTTACCTGGTACCCAGGACACCATGTGGGGTGAACGCTCCAGTTGCAGGACCGCAGACAACAGAGGGGAACAGACCACCCTGAGCCCCCGAGAGGCCCCGACCGTGGGGGTCTCCAGCCCTCCAGCCCCACTCTGTGCAGGCTCGGAGCTTGCCCAGGAAGCCACAGCTGCCACCAAGGGCCTTGTGTGTGATGTGGCCACATTCCCCCAAGAAGCCACCCCGGGCATGGGGGAGGTGGGGCAGCTGGCAGCCATGTGTGGCCCCAAAGGAGCCATGGGCTTTGCAGCACTGCGGGACGAGTTGGAGGGAATGGGGGACATCTTCCAGCCCATGAGCGCCACGGAGCAAGGTGAGGAGCCAAGGAGGGGCATGCCCCATCTGGAGCTGGGTCCCTCGGGCTGGCGCCACACGCAGATACCCCAAGGGGCTTCTTAAATTGAGCCATGTACCTCCCTCCGCAGCTGAGCTGGCTGCCTCCGAGCCTGGGCCGAAGGTGCTCTCGGCTGACCAGGGAAGCTACTTCATCCGCTTAGGCGACCTGACCCCTGGCTTCCGCCAGCGGGCATTTGAACACGCCGTGAGCCACCTGCAGCACAGCCAGTTCCAAGCCAGGGACGCCCTAGCACAGCTGGAGGACTGCTGCAGCCTGGTAAGAGCTGTCCCCTCCCCTCGTCACTTCTTAGAGTCCTTGCAGGGCCCCGCAGAGCGACCTGGTTCCACTGTCCACGGCGCCCAAGGGGAGACCTGAGTTAAGGGTTTGGAAAAATACTCAGGTTGCTCCCTGCTCACCCGGACACCAGAATAAACTCCCGACAGGCAGATGGTACAGGCCAGGTGACCCCTGGGACTGCCCTCTTCTCCTCCACCCCACTCAGGCATGGATTTAAACGTGCAGCCACCTAGGACCTCAGCAGGGCAGGGGACCATGGGACGCAGGGTCCCTGGGGGGGGGGGTCACTGGAATCCCCTAACCCAGGGGGTCTCACCTGGGGTGATTCTGCCCCCAGGGAGCCTTGTCATGATGGGAGGGTGCTCCTGGCGTGAACCGGGTGGAGGCAGGGACACTACTCAGCACCTGTAGCGCCCAGGACAGCTCCCATCTCAGAGAAGACTCTGGCCCCAAACATCCACAGTGCCAGGGCATGTCAGTCCTTGGGACCCTCAGCATGCCTCACCTCACTGCAGCCACCCCTGGGTTTTGAGCTGAGGGGTGACAAGACCCCAACGACGCTATGTTCCTACATCTCCCTGAGCTCACAGGGAACCCGGATGACTGCCTCCTCACACAAGCCACCAGGGTGCGACTGACTCTAGACTCGTGGCCACTCCACCTGCCTCGGGAAAGGTCTGGACACAAGGTCCCCAGGCCAGGACTCTGAGCACCTCCCCTGGTCCCTGGGAGGGAGTGTGACAGGGCCTTGCCAAGAGGCCATTGTCTCCCCTGCTGGCTTCTTTCTTTCCAGATTGAAGAGGGCAAACAGCCTCTGGACAGGCAGCCCCTGCATCTGGACCAGGGCTTAAGCGCCAGCGTGGACAACACTGGTACCCAGGAGGTGCGTCTGGCGTGGGCTGAGGTCACCCCCTGGCTTGCTGGCCCCCCCTCACCTGGCGCCTTCCTCCCCCAGGAGCAGGACGCCGGGGCTCTGCCCAGAGTCTGCAGCCTTGCCCGGCAGCTGCACACAGCCTACAGCGGCCTGGCCTCCGGCCTCCAGGGCCTGCCCGCGGAGCTCCAGCAGCGGGTCGGGCAGGCGCGGCACAGCGTCTGTGAGCTCTACGGCATCGTGTCCTCCGCTGGCTGCATGGAGGAGCTGCCGGCAGAGCGCCTGGCCCAGAGCCGCGAGGGCGTGCGCCAGGCGTGGCAGGGGCTGGAGGCGCTGCTGGAGGACGTGCAGCACAGCCCCCCCCTCGGCTGGCTAGTGGGGCCCTTTGCCTTGGCCCCAGCTGGGCAGCGGCTGTAGCTCCTGCAGACCAGGGCGCGGGACCTCCCTGCCCGGCCTGAGCAGCCTCCTCCGAACCTTCCCCCGCTCCAGCCCCAGCGTGGCTCCCCAAAGTCCTAGACCCCGGGGGCTGGAGCGGGCCCAGTACTGAGGCCATGGAGGCAGGGACCCGAGTCCAGCCGCACCTGCCGCCTCTCCCCGAGCACTGCTGGTCCCTCCCCTGCCCTGGGAGCCTGAAGTCGCCAAGACCACAGGCCAATGACCTTACCTCAAACACCTCGAGTGAGCACTGCAATTAGGAAAGCGATGCAGAAACCTGCCAGCCTAGCAGGTCTTCCAAGCGCCCCACCAGGAACACCATCTTTGGGGGGTTCTCCCGGCCCCACAGTATGGTCCCATAGCTTCCAGTGTAACGGGTGGTGCTGCTCTGTCCTCGCTCTGCACGCGTGTCCCCCGCCCTAACCAATACTCAGGTCTGGAGGACCACGTTCCCTTGTACCAGGATGTATGAGAAAATGCCACCTTCATCCCAGGCAGACCTGTGCTGCCTCTGCCGAGCCCTGCTGTGGCCAAGAGAAAGGATTTCACGGGGACAGAGCTGTCAGGAGCCTTTGCATTGGCCTGGCTCAAGGACTGCACAACTTGGAGAGGTGGGGAGCGGTGACCAAACTAGCTGTTTCCTGCCTCCAGCCACTTACCGCAGTGCCACCAACCGTGCGCACACCCGAGGCTCTGTGGCCCCTCAGGAGGCTGGGCCTGGAGGCTGCTGCTCAAGAACATGAACAAAGGGCTTCCCCACAGGGCACAGGTATCTGACGAGACCTGCCCCATGCACTACGTGCGCTCAAAGCTGGAGCCCCGGGCTGGCTCAGTCGTGGAGGCCCAGCACCCCTGGGGCAGCCCTTCATTCCCCGCATGCTGGCCACAGTCTCACGGTCCCCAGAGACCATGACACAACACACCGCCAACTGCAGAAAATAGGCCTGGTGGCCGGGGTGTCCATCCATGCCACACACAGGGCAGGGCTCAGGGCGCCCCTTCCCACCACCCCACAGCCTGACTCCCGGCTGGGCTGCAGGGAACTTGGCCCTCCCAGGCTGGGGGCTTGAACGCGCAACCACGTCCACTCCTTTGCTACCTCCACCGCTCTCTGTGCCCAGCCATACCAGCCTCTTCTGGGTCCAGAGAGGACCTTCCTTCGTGCCCTTCCTGGTCTCTGGAATGTGCCCAGCCCCTACCCTTCTTGCATGCTTGGAAGGACTCCTCTGCTAAAATGTCACAGCCTTGGAGGGGCTTTCCTGACCACCCAGGCAAAATATGACACTCCCACCTCTCATGATCCTCACAGCCACACACCCAGATCTTCCTCTTGCTTGTCACCATGATTAGGAATTGTGTTTATCTGTTTAAATGGTGGTGATCGACTCCCCCACTAGGTTGCCAGTACCCAGAGCCAGGGGACTGTGTCCTGGTCACCTGCTTTGTACTCCTTCTCCGCAGCCCAGTGCCTGACACACAGCACCGCTCAGCAGCCTTCAGCTGAGCTGAGTGCGTAAAGGAACCCAGTTACGTGGTTGGCACATGAGAATCGTCCTATAATGTTTGCTATTTTTGTGGCTGTCACTGCTTGCTTGGGCATTTTGAGTATAACGGAACTAGCGGTGCCAGAAAGGTAGAAGCCTGGAGGTCTCGTCCTAGGTCGGTTTTACCTCAAAATACAAGAATGGTTCAGAAAATAAAAAAGAGGCCACTTGACCTTGCTGTAGTCAGGGCACCGGCCCCAGTGCTTCGCTGCCAGCCCGGTTTCATCTTCACCACGGCCTTCTGAGACCCAAATGGTACCACCCCTATCTCCAGGGCAGGGTCACTTGCCCAAGGTTTAACCCTGCAGCCCAGGCCAAACCCTGGGCCCATGACACACGTCTCCTCACCTCTCCCGTCTGGCTTCTCCGGATGTTCTGGGCCTCAGTTGCCCCATTTGTAATCGAGGAGACTGGACACCTGACATTTGAGACCCCAATGGTGGGTGCTGTCCTCCTGGTTGCTGTCCTGGTTGGGAAACCCACCCTAGACTCACAGTGACACATGGGACTCTGACCCCCGCCTCCAGCCGGTGAGTTCTCTGACAGTGAGGCCCCTGAGGCGGACCACAGCAGGTGGGAGTGATGCTGACGAGACGACGAGGACCGGGGGGTCATGGCTGTTACAGCCGTGACCGCCACAGCCGCCAGCGACAGGATGGAGAGCGACTCGGACTCGACAAAAGCAGCGACAACAGTGGCCTGAAGAGGAAGACCTCGCGCTGAAGGTGGGGCAGAGTGGGGTAGGGCGGGCCTGATACCTCGCCCCCAGCTGCTCTCCCTCTGCCTTTCTTTTGTTTCTTACTTTTTTTCAATATGCGTTTGAAAAATTTGGGTCTCTGTATACCATCTCAGTCACCCTGCCAGAGGTACCTAAGTCAGTGGGTTTTCAGTTTATTCGCAGAATTGTCAGCTGTCACTCTGTCTTATTCCAGAACATTTTATCACCCCTAAAGAAACCCTGTCCCCATCAGCAGTCCCACCTCCACTTTCTCACCTTCCAAACTGACGCTCTGTCCCCACAACACTCACTCCCCGCCCCCTTCCCAGCCCCTGGCACCCACCATCTCTTACTTTCTATCTCTGTGGATCTGATGCTTCTAGGGACCTCCTGTGTAATTGTCCCTTTGTGACTGGCTTATTTTACTGAGGATAACACCCTCAGGGTTCAAGATCCCTGACTTTTATCAGATTCTCAGAGAGGTCGCTGATGCCCGGGAAGGTTCTAGCACCTCAGCTCTACCCGGGCTGCCAGTGGTCAGGGTCAGGGCTTCCTAGTGAGAGCATGGCTCTCCTAGTCACTGACATGTCCAGGCGGCTTCCCTTGCAGATGTCAGTCTCGAAACGAGCTCGAAAGGCGTCCAGTGACTGGATCAAGCCAGCGTGTCCCCGTCCGAAGAGGAGAACTCAGAAAGCTCGTTCCGAGGTCGAGAAAACCAGTGACCAGTGTAGGTGGGAAGTTGACTCCGCAGGAGGGCAGGAGAAGGCGGGTGCACGGGTGAGCCCAGTGTGGCGGCTGCACCCGTTCAGCACACTTCCCCCACCCAGGACTTCACCCACGAGAAAGAAGCCGGTGGTCCGAGCGCCCGGCGCGGCCCCCTCGGAGGACGGAAGAAAAAGGTAGAGCATGTTTGGTGCCTTCTGTTCCTCATGCTCACTCGTAGGGCTCTTCGTGGTCACTAGCGCTGTCCACGGTGCGGAGTTGGTCCGCTTGTGGAGGGGTTAGGCCGGGCGCAGGGCCCAAGCTGCCCTACTCCCACGGGAGGCCCCACGGTCTGGTTAGAAATGGTTTCTGGATTGTTGGCATGGAAGAGAGTGAAGCAGCCTTGAGGGCCCTGTGTGTGAGTCAGAGTGTGAGTATTGTGTGTCCACGTGTATGATTACTGGTGTATGGGTTCTGTGTGTGCAGGTATGTCCATTACACATGTGCACGTATGACTGTATGTTGTATATCTGTGCACTAGTGGTCGTGCGTTTGTTATATAGTCGTGGTGTGGGTGGTATGTCTGGCTTTTATGTGTGCGTGCATGTGTTTGCATGGGTGTGTGTCGTATGCCTGTGTGTGGTATGTCTGTGTGCCTCTGTGTGCCTATGTCCGTGGTGGCCCATGTGTGCAATATTGCCCACGTGTGCAGCGGGTGGCTGGCGTGCTTTGGGCCGTGAAGACAGTAGAGAGAGAGAGCTTGTCTTATTTGGTCTCCACGAAAGATTTTGCACAAAGTGGCTGGGCGGCAGTGGCTCACCCCTGTAATCCTACATCTCTGGGAGGCCCAGGCGGGGAGGATCACTCAAGGTCAGGAGTTTGAGACCAGCCTGAGCAGAGCCAGACCCTTCTCTACTAAAAATGAAAGAAATTATCTGGATAACTCAAAACATTTATACAAAATTTAGCCAGGCACGGCGCGCATGCCTGTAGTCCCAGCTTATTCGGGAGTGAGGCAGAGGATCGCTTGAGCCAGGAGTGTGAGGTTGCTGTGAGCTAGGCTGATACACAGCACTCTAACCCAGACAACAGAGTGAGACTCTGCCTCAAAAAAAAAAGATTTTAGGGGGAGCGGGGAAATGGGCATTTTGAAACCTTAAATCTGTACCCCAATAAATATCAGATTAAAAAAAAAAAAAAAGATTTGCACCAAGTAAAGGTCTTGCCACTATGAACCTTGGGGCTCCAGTGCCCCCCACTTCCACCACCGGGCGCGAAGGGCCCTGACAGAGCTGAGGCCTGAGTTACCCTGGTAGCCTGTGATCCCTGGTTTTCACTCGGGCACAGGCGGGTTTGCAGCAGTCATGAGGGAGGCCCAGCGTGAGGAGACTGTGGGGTGGGGGCACAGGGGGACCTTAGCTCCCCTCGCCCCCCGTGGCCCACTCTCCATGCTGGCCTTCTGACTCCTGCCCTGTCCCGTTGCTTCCCAGAAGGCGCCCTCAGCTCCGACTCAGACTCCAAAAGCAATTCCGACGGGCCAAGGCTGAGCCTGTGGCCGTGGGAGGCAGCGTCCTCCTCCTTTCCTCCTCCTCCTCCTCCTCCTCTGACTCGACGTATCTGTCAAGAAGCCTCCACGGGGCAGGAAACCAGGTAGGGCCTGCCCGGCGCCTGCAGCCTGCACTCCTGCACCCATGGCCCTCTCCCTGGCCTGTGCTAGGGCTCCGGGTGGTCCCTGTCTGGCTGGACCCCCTGAAGCCCCCTCAGCCCATAGGAGAGACCGTGCTGAGACAGTTCCACGCTCCCCTTCTTTCCCTGTAGCTGAGAAGCCTCCCCCAAAGCCCGCGAGGCCGGAAACCGAAGCCTGAACGGCCCCCATCCAGCTCGAGCAGCGACAGGTTGTGGGTGTTGGGTCACTCTGGGGATGGCTGTCCACCCAGCCGAGGGCCACAGGTGGCGGGCCTGGGCATCCACGGAACAGGAGCCCCAACCACCCTCGTCGCCGCAGCGACAGCGAGAGGTGGACGCGCATCACGCGAGTGGAAGCGGCGGACGAGGCGCGGCGGCGGAGCTGGAGGCCGG